GCAAATCCCACGTCAAATATCATGTTAAATACCATGTTAAATACTAATTGAGATCCTTTATCATTTTTTTGAAAAATTTTCCCATGTCAAACCCCACGTCATTTCCCAAGTAAAAACCTCCCTATTGAAAAAAAACACGTATAATTATACGTATAATAATACGTATACTTATACGTATAATTGTACGTATAATTATACGTATAATTGTACGTATAATTATACGTATTATTATACGTATAATTATACGTATTATTATACGTACAATTATACGTATAATAAGACATACGAATTTGAAACAAGAATTATACGTATAATTATACGTATAATAATACGTATAATAATACGTATAATTAATTATACGTATAATAATACGTATAATAATACGTATAATTATACGTATTATTATACGTATAATTATAATTCTATTAAAAATAGAATAATAGAATAGAATAGATTAATTAGTAGCAAAATTGCGCTGAAAATTTTTAGAAATTTTAAAATGCAAATTAAATTTCACGAAAAAAAATATCGTCGAATGTCAATTCAAGCAGTCACCCATCCAAGTACTAACCGCGTCCAACGTTGCTTAACTTCTGTGATCTGATGAGAACTTGTTCCTTCGCCTTGGTGTTTCCGCTGTCTTGTCTTGATTAATAACTTTGTCGTATAAGTATTGTATCGCACCTAACCTCACTTTTAGTGATACTTATACGACAAAGTTATTAATCAAGACAAGACAGCGGAAACACCAAGGCGAAGGAACAAGTTCTCATCAGATCACAGAAGTTAAGCAACGTTGGACGCGGTTAGTACTTGGATGGGTGACTGCTTGAATTGACATTCGACGATATTTTTTTTCGTGAAATTTAATTTGCATTTTAAAATTTCTAAAAATTTTCAGCGCAATTTTGCTACTAATTAATCTATTCTATTCTATTATTCTATTTTTAATAGAATTATAATTATACGTATAATAATACGTATAATTATACGTATTATTATACGTATTATTATACGTATAATTAATTATACGTATTATTATACGTATAATTATACGTATAATTCTTGTTTCAAATTCGTATGTCTTATTATACGTATAATTATACGTATAATAATACATATAATTATACGTATAATAATACGTATAATTATGCGTATAATTATACGTATAATTATACGTATAATAATACGTATAATTATACGTATTATTATACGTACAATTATACGTGTTTTTTTTCAATAGGGCTTTATCATTTTTTTGAAAAATTTTCCCATGTCATTTCCCATATCATTTCCCATGTGAAATCCTTCATCATTTTTTTGAAAAATTTTCCAATGTCAAATCCTCTTTCGCCCTATCGAAAATCCCCACATGGGAAAGCATATGGGAATCCACAGAGGAAATGGAATACGATAAAGGATTTCACATGAAATTTTTCGAAAAATGATAAAAGATTTCACATGGGAAATGACATGGGAAATGACATAGGAAATTTCAATATAGATGTTGATCGTCATTATAGTTTCATTGTTTCGCCACCAGATGGTGAAAATATTTTCTCTCACAGTTGAGATCAGTCTGGAATACTATAAAAGCTGAGAGTCTAAGGCAGAAGTAAAGTAAACTTTTTTTTATTTTCAGATGAGTTGCATTATTATTATTTGATATTTAATCAAATAATTAATTTTTTTTGTAAACTGCTGCCTGCATAAAGCAGCCAACTAAAAAATTCCCAAATAAAATCCTATATCGTTTCCTATATGTAAATCCATGTGAAATCTTAGGTTGAGATTTCAGAATCTATATGAAATCTTATATGATTTCCTATGCTTAAATCTATTTGTTTTATCATTTGGAAGAATGCACATGAAATCGTATTCCATTTCCCATATGGATTCCCATATGGTGTCCCATGTGGATTCCCATATGCTTTCCCATGTGGGTATTTTCGATAAGGCGAAAGAGGATTTGATATGGGAAAATTTTTCAAAAAAATGATAAAGGATTTCACATGGGAAATGATATGGGAAATGGCATGGGAAAATTTTTCAAAAAAATGATAAAGGTTTTTACTTGGGAAATGACGTGGGGTTTGACATGGGAAAATTTTTCAAAAAAATGATAAAGGATCTCAATTAGTATTTAACATGGTATTTAACATGATATTTGACGTGGGATTTGACATAGGAAATGACATGGGAAATGAGGAACCTTTTTTTGATATTTTCCTATGCCAATTCCTGTCCCAATTTCCCATGAGGATTTATATGGGATCCCATGTGGTTTCCCATATGGTAATTGGATTTTACATAGGATCCCATGTGGTTTCCCATGTGGTTTCCCATGTGGTTTCCCATGTGGGGATTTTCAATAGGGATTGCTTTTGAATTACGGTAGAAATTGCCGAAGTAAAAAGCACATTGTTTTTTTTCAGTGCATTTATCCGAAATTGTTGGGTTTCCACCCAGCCAACGATATATTGATTTTTAATTCAGTTTTAAAGAATATAGGTACAAATAATAGTTTACTAAGTTAAATGTTGTTTCAAAGTCGATCAAATATTGATTTAATGTACGTTCAGAGTAACTTTAATGTAGGATAAGAGTACTGTCAAAATAAGTCAAATGTACGCTCAAAGTAATCAACGATTTACCACTAAATTCTTTATTACAGGTACTACGCTCGTGCTTTGCAAATTGAATTTTAATTTTTTGTTAAAAATGATTAGAACAAATTTATTTCTAAATTTTGTTTGGAATTCGTGTGGCATTTTATAACGTTTTTTCGTACGAAAAATCATGCGAATTCGGTACGAATTGTAACTGAAATTTATTTTTTACGGAAATTTATACAGATATTCGTACAAAATTCACATTAAATATAAAGAAAAATCCGTTTGAAATTTTGCGAAAATCCATGTGTAAATTTTCTTATCTCTGTAACCTTAAAAGATTTTTAAAAATGGTGGACATTTCGTTATAAATTTTTGTGGCCATTTGAACTGATTCCTTATACAAATTTTCTGTGAATTTTATACAAATATCCATACAAATTATTTTCCGTAATTTTAAAAAGAAATTTCATTTACAATTCGTACGAATTTTGTACAAAAAAGGTTAAAATCTCCACACGAATTCCAATTGAAATTTCGTGCATGCACGAAATTCTTTTGAAAATTATACTAATCATTTTCAACTGAGATTGAAAATAAAAATAGAACAATAACAGATGTTCGAGAAAATGTAAAGAATAATGTTTAGAAAAGAAAAAACAATTGTCTCATTAAGTCAAATTAAATAATAATAATATTTTATTTTTAAAAAATAGTAATTAAATTTTTATTAAAACAGTTTTTTAGCATTTAGTAGTAAAAATAATAGTTTTTTCATAGTTATAAAGATTTAAAAATGACAATGTCACTTAAAATATTAAAGCTTCAAAATCCCCACTAATTTTAAAGGAATATATTAGACAATTTTTAAGTCAAGCCTTATCTAACTGAGGAGTCAAAAACTTTAGAAGAAACTTCGATGAGTTGAAAGAAAATTGAAATTATAGTGAGTCAAACAAATTTTTAATTAGTTTGTTTTTAATTTTAGTAGAAAATAAGAATATCAGAAAGAGAAAAAATTTATTAAATAAAGGCAAATGTTCTATTCAATTCAAAAAATTATTTAATGAATTATAATCAGTTTTTGGATTTATTTATTGTTCTTATGAATCTATTATTTTTGTTAATGTGTTGATAAAACTTCTATAAATCGTGAAAATATCCAATGAATTAAGAAAACCTTCAGTAAATTACGAAGCTGCACCATAATTTGTCAAATGAGAAAAGGAATTGTAAAACAATAGAAGTTCAATGATTTTAAAAAACGTTCAACAAATTAGAAGTATTTCACTAGTCCAGAAAATCATCAATGCTTCAAGAATATAAATATTTTTCAACAAAATTGTTCCACGCTTGTCCATTAATATTTCATAATTTAAAAGTTGATTTACAAACCAGTAAATCTTAATTTATGGAAAAGGCAAAACTTTAAAAGTCAATATTAAAAAAAATTAAGCTTTTTACTAATCTACATCCCAATATATGTTTATGCTACTAGTAATATTCTGTTATATTAGTATATAAATTAAATAAATATTAAGTAAATTATTAATATCTTCATTAGTTTAAGAGAATTCAATTGTAAGACAAAATCATATCCGTGAAATTGATGCAAGGAGTTACTTTATTTATTCTTTTCTTCTAAAATCATTAATTTGTTTTTTAATATTAAAATAGATTTTCGTCAAAGAACCTAGACAAAAAAATCTTCATAAAACTCTTCAAACTATTTATCATCCATAAATCAAGAGTTTAACAGCTGTCCTCATCAAAAGGATAATGAAGATTCTTCTTATCAAAAAAATACACAGCGACAATTATATAATCCAAAAGAATGTCCGTTATTGAATCAATAACTTCACTGCAAAATGATCCTTCATCACATTGCATTTTCCTAAATCTTAATTCCACAAAAAGAGTCAACGTTTCGTAGTTATGTTTTAGTAAATTGTCTCTCAGTCACCAACGCGGATTCATGCTATGAATGCGGAAGCTTTGCCAACACATTTGTGTGAACAACATTGGAATGTGTTTTCGTGTCTAACCGAATTTGGAAGCACTTGCTACAAATGTAAAAAGAATTGTATATTTTTCCACAAAAAAATAAAAATTAATTTTCACTACATACTCAATAACTAATTCTTGATAAATAATATTTTGTAAAAAAGAAAAATAAAAATTTGGTTACTCTTTATATCTTTAGAATGTTTTGGCATTTGAATTGATAAAATTCCAGTTCTAATATGATAGATGGAAAAAAGTAGAATATTTTTTTCCTTGTTGCAAGTTTGCTCATGGATTATTTTTGAAATGAAGGATGCGTAGGTATGTGAGATGAACGTTGCGAATAAATCAACACGAGGGATTTTAAACGAAAGTGTTGCTCACTGCAAATTTGCGGCAACGACGGCGACGGCGAATCACCAAACAGAACGGAATAAAATGCACTGACGATATACGTTTCGTACAGGTCTCACTGCAGCGCTGCACTCTTGGTTTTACAAAACGGTGTCACGATAAACTCTGCCAACGACAATCAGTACTCTAGCCACAAATACCCACCCACCCCGCTACGGCCGGACGGTAGGCTCGATCTATTTACTGATCGATCTATTTAGACCGAGCCTCGATCTCGTTATTCGTTACCAAAAGATTTACGATGGTCGTCTGCGTTTTTAGCATATTTTGTGTATAAAAAAATTTTTAATATCTGATCAAATGCTAACACGTGATGAAAAAATATAATACATGTTTATAGTTATCAATCTTTAGAATTTAAAATAAAATTTAAATTTATTTATCTTTCCCTTTCTCATAACATATATTCATTGCAATTTTATCTTATATCATTCCATTTAGATTTATTCTTTAATTAATTCAGAAAAATTGTCTTCTTTGCATCAGATTTTGCAAAAAGAATAAATCAATTGAAATATTTAAACACTTGGAAACTGCAAAAATAAATGATTAAAATAAATAATTTGACTATTAAAAAGTTCTTGTCCCACTTACAGACCTATACATTTTATTTTAGAAAAAAACCTCTACTTTATGAAAAAAAAAATTTTTAAATGTTCATTTTATAGAAAAATGAAATTTTATTATTTGATTGCAATTTTCATGGTCAAAATTTACTTTTTTTAAATTTGTACACGCGTACATTTTTGAAAATATTTTGTATTTCCCTTCTACTTAATAGTTTTCATAAGGAGTTAGCATTTATTTTACTTTAATGAACATCCTAAAAATATAATGTGACAGATTAAGAATAAAAATACTCAAAGAAATTCAAGAAAAAAATCAGTTTGGTAGGAATAAATTTTTGGAGGTTATTGCACTTGGTGAAAAAAACCTATTTTTAAACGAATATATGTAAAGTAAGTGCTATTTCTTTTTTAAAATTTGATCTACTATTCATTGACATAAAATTCACACTGATTTCGATAACCTAGATTCATAAAATATTTCGTAAATGTGTTCTATTTAAGGAAATGTAATTTTGTAGGGTAAATTTGGGCATGGGACGAATATGTAACGTAGTTGGGAAAAATGGTAAATATTGTTATTATTCTGACAGCACAATTCAAAAAGCCCTTTCGGAGGTTAGGAGAAATTAATTGAGCATTCGAAAAGCATATGAAAAATACAATGTACCCAAAAGTACATTGAGCGATCACTTGAAAATTAAAATATACCATTAATTGATTTTAATTAATTTATTTTATTTATTTTTGTAAAAAAAATATACAAAATAGTCAGACAGCTTTGGAATGGATTATTATTAAAACAAGAATACTTTAATAATATGATTATCCTAAATATTTTTGAATTACGCAGTCCGAAGTTACCTGCCCTTGGAGGCTAACTGCGGACACTTTTTTTTACTTCAAAGAAGAAAATAGAGATAAATAAAAATATTTTAATTACACATATCAATACATATCTTCTTAGTTTAGTTTGCTATCATCCTCGGTTTATAACGTTTAAAATGTTTCCAAGAACTAATAAGTGTCTGTCTATTTCCGAAAAAAGAAGTTATTAAAGTGGTAGAGAGCAGAGCAACAAAAAAAGATGTTGTTGTTGTATGTTGTAAGCGGAGGATAAAAGCGGGTTCGAAAAGGTGAATTTTCTAATTTACACAGAAAAAAACTGAGTTCATTTTTGTTGCAGTTCATTCTGAATTCGGTATCATAATGAACAACAACTAACTTCAAGTTACTCAAAATGAACCGGACCCGGATCAAATGTCAGGTTATGTTAGTTTATGTTGAAATTCAAGATTTTATGATTATTATGTTGGCAACAACTGCAACTTATGTATGCAGCGCCACACTGGCGTAATATTCAAATTGAAATAGTAGAAATATTTTTTACTTTAATTTAACAATAAATTTGAATAATTATAGTTAATGTATAATATAAATTATTATTATATATTATATTTATAATATTCATTTACAAACTATTATATGTATTATATTTTAAAATAGTATAATATAAATATAATAATAGATAATATATAATAATTGTAAAATATACAAGAATTACAATTAAAAAAATGGTACGGGATAAATTTATTAAAATAAGTTTAAATAAAAATTTATATATATATTACATTAATTATATTAATATTTATGTAATATTAATAATATTAATTAATATTAATACTTTTATATTATTTGATTAGAATTATATATATATATATATTACAAAACTGGACTGTGGATGTAAAATAATTAAATTATACATAAAGTAGTAATTATAATCCGTCACATAATAATATTCTTAAATTAATTATTTGATTATTTTTAAAATTAAAAATATTACATAATTTAAAAATATTTAAACTGAAGAATGTTATAACATAATCATTACATTATTATAATGAATAACACTTTATTTTTGGTTATAGTTTCAAGTTTAAATTTGGCGCCATTATCTTTGGTTTTTAGACAAAGGCGCCGTTAAATTTCATGTTTCGTGTTGCATGGTAGGTATTTATTTGCTGTCAATTCAGAAGTTTCTAACCTAAAAATCATTTATTTTGTTTTCTATAAATTCAATGAATCGGATTTAAGAAACAAAGTTTTTTCAAGTGTAATCTGTTTGTTCATTGAAAACAATGATTTTGATTAATAGTTTTATGATAAAGTGCTTCTTAATTGACTATAATTGTCATTTTAACTTGAACTCAAAATGAATCGGATCTAGCTCATTTTGATGCTTTTTGCCTGAAGTTCAAAATGAGCTTCTCGAGGTTCATTTTTGTTGCAGTTCAAAATGAGTCGGTGGACCGACTCATTTTGAACTCAGTTTTTTTCTGTGATAGAGAAATGTTTAGTTGAGTGGCTTACTCAGTGTAGAGAACAAAACGTTCCCGTGGGAGGGCCCTTGGTTAAAGAATGCACTAGATTCGGAATTATTTTTTATTATAACTTTTTTAACTTTAACAATATAAAATTGTCTTTGTTAGTTTTGAACTCAAAGTTCATTCCTTATATTCGATATGTATATTTAAAAGTAATTGCCTCTCGATAATTAAAACACGCGATAAATAAAACTCTTGATAAATTGAACTACTTTTACGGTGCCTTGAGATTCAAATTATCGAGAGTCGACTGTATTTTTAATTGTATCCAATATAGCTACAGTTTGTACAAACTTTTAACCCGATCCTAGATATTTCAAATTTGGACCCGGATCACTTTACGTGGACTGTCACATATGAGGCATTTTAGTGTAATGTCCTGAGTTGAAAAATTGAGTTCTTGAAAAAAAGCAAAATTCAAATAGTAAGCGGTGTCAGTGAAAACTGATAAATCTGACCCCCTCTATCTCCCCCAAAATTTCAAAAAAGTCAAAAATTTTTTTGGGAATATTTTACTATTAGGTAGGACAACAATTTCCCCAAATTTAACTTTTTTTCGAGAAATAAATTTTTCAACTTAGGACATTACACGTAAAATACCTCATATACATATGCTTTTTACTTACACAGAAAAAAACCCAGGCGCGAAGGGACGCTGGGTTCAGGCCTTTTAAAGACTCGTTGAGCATTGGCCAATATTGACTGAGTCTTGGCCAGTCAGCGGGAATAAGACTCATCCAAGCTATACTCTGTCTCACGAGAGAAAGACCCTCGTAAAATCAAATTTTGGTTTTCTACGCGCAGAATGTCATAAAATAAGGCGTGGAATATTTTTTCTCTAAACCAGTCAAATTTCATGTTTCTTTATGTCTTGTTCACAAAAAATATTAACACTAACATATACTCGTACTCCAGGGTTTTCTGCTTCAAGGTCGCAGGCCTTTTGGATCCTCGGTTTATGATGCGCCCCAAACATATGTTAAAATTGAAAAAAAATTTTTTTTAAGTTTTTAAATAATTGATTTAACAATTTCATATTCCAACTCTCCAATTTTTTCTGATTCCAACCATATATAATTTTCCATATTTTTTGATAAAAGTTTATAAAATTTTTAAATTTTAACATTTTTATAACAAACGCCATACCGTTAGAATCGCAAAAAAGCAAGGAATGTGAATTTAATAAAAAAAATGAAGAATATCAAATTTTTAATTTTTATATTTTTGAAAAAAAGTAATTATCCCATTGACAGATTACAATGGGAACGTCCTGTGGTGGCTACGGAGTTACCACTACTTGATCAGAGTTGAGTTTGTATTATAAATGATTTAGTGCATTGTAATAAACCTAATACCGAGGGGCTGATCACTCACGAGTCGACTCGACGTTACAGACTGTACTTCGTCTTATTTCGTGCTAACTCGCGTTGACTCGCACTATTCGTAGTTACTCGGGCTATTCGTAGTTACTCGCGCTATTCGTACTGCTTTACAACGAAAGAAAACACATAAGCCACATTGTCGCTTCAGTCGCTTTTCGCCAGTGTTTATATACAGAACTCGACCAAAGCGACAATGTGGCTTATGTGTGTTTTTCCGTTGTAGGGCAGCGTAAGTACTCGGAGTCGACTCTACTTTAGCCATTCCTATCCACTCGATTGAATTTTGGCCTTGTTATTATAAAATATTTATAAACTATTAGAATATGTATTTATTTGTAATTAATTTTCTAATCATATTTATATTTTAAGTGGATTATTTTATTATTAAGTTCATTAGTATTAATTAACATAATTAATATAATATAATAATAAATTAATAATTAATATTTTTTTTGCTTTAAAGGAAAAATAAATATTTTATTTAAATAATTTTTTACATGGCCTTAAACGATTTTTTAATTAAAAACTAAGAAGTAAGTGAAAATAATATTCTTCTTGAAAATTTTATTTTTATTAGGTACATATTAAATATACATATATAGAGATTAACAACTTAAGATTTTAGCTTACAGAAAGGATATAGGTATATATGCTGCTGTGAGCGATTAACGTTCTTTTTACAATTTATGCTTTATTTCATTATAAATATCAAAGTCTAAAGTCAGACCAACTTCTGTTACTTTCGGTGGTTGAATTGTTAATCTATATTGTTCAATTGATAAATATCCATGAGTCGATATTTCAGTTAACATTAAGAACCCATAATCACTAACATCAAACCACTGACACAATACTCCAATATCTTTTTTATTTCCACTTACGTTTGCAAAGTTATTTGAGTATTCTACACTTTTCCAAGTTTTGCCGTTTAAATAAGAAAAACCAAGAACTGAACCAACTAAGCAACCGTCACTCTCTTTTTTCTTAAATAAGCACCAATCTCCAATAAAAATTTGTTTCGATGTAATTGTGTGATAAACCGAATGTTTCTGTGACTTCGAATGTTTCTCATATTCAGCTGCGCGAACTCTTTGCAATCGGTCACTACTCAGTTTTGTAATATTACTATTCAGTAGCCAACAAATAGAAGATTTACGCACAATGTGTTCTTTACCGGTGGCGTCTTTTACTGCTGTAAACGGAGTATCAGGTCGAATATCCATGATAGTTTCCGAATATTCTTGCAATTCTAATGTCCCAGTGACATTTTCTAACATCGTCAAATCTTGAAGAACTTCATGAGAAGCTAGATGCTCTCCATCATTACTGGCTTCTGTTTCTGGGCAATCTTCAGAATCTGAATCCAAATTATCACCCACTTCAATATTTTCAAAATTACTGCAGCCTACATTCAAATTATGAATTTGAATATTATTTGCTGCATTAATATCTACAACCATACCCAACAAAGATACCATTGAATAAGCATCTCGTTTAGCGCGAAAAAGAACGTCCTTGATTTTCAAGAGACTTGGAAGTGTACAATTTTGATCTAATATGACTGATGGAGGATCAATTGTTTTATCTTGTAACTCATAAGAAGCATTTAAATGCCTCGTTCTTGGAAATATGAGATTTTCGCCCATAGTTTTGAAGTCCATTACAGAAATATCAGCTTATAACTGGATTCTTTCAATTCTGTGTATTACATCTAGAAGACTGCAGTTAACTATTGTTGAATATGAAGTACTTGTTGACCTTAAGTTTCTAAAAAAACTTTCACATTGTTGACTGCCAAATTGCCAAATTAAAAATTGATCAACTGAATTTTCTTTTATACATTTAAAAACTGAATTCAACAGACCGTGCGCATTCAATTCGATGCATATGTAAGTATTTACTGTAATGTAATTACTTGTCACAGAATAAAGAGGTGTTCTAGCTAGCCAAGCCCGCCACAAACGCAAGAAAAATACACAATACCATAAATAATAAATCCTATCAACGATCGTTATAGATACCGATAAGTAAGAATTTAAAATGTAATACATTAATTTTAAATACTCTCGAGTACCTTCACTACCAGGTACATGCTATTCTAATAAAGCCCAAATTTTTGGATTGCAGTTTTTAATAACTGACGCAAAATTCATCTTATCTTTTGGTGATAATTCACTTTGACTAAGAAGGTGTTTATCTCTGGAAACTGAATCTATTAATATTTGTAAATGCCCCGAAGATGCAAAAAACTCGCCTAAAGGAAGTATAATAGAATACTTCAATAATCTTGACTTTAATTTTGCTCCAATGTGCACTGTGTCTTGTGTGCAAATAAAACTGGGAAGAATAGTTGAATGAAAACCCGAAATTGTGTCGCATGCAATTGCGTCAAAATTCGGAAGCTTCATTCCAAGATTCATTTTATGTCGCATTGCTTTCAATAACCGTGTATCTCCATCTGAAGAGATACCTGCAACTGTAATACCTTGCTGATTGAGTTGTGTAATTATAAATTCCCAACGATTAAGAATGTGTTGGAAGGTAAACTTATTGTTCCGAATAAACACAAACAAAAACAAGGCGCATTTTTTTGTAATGGCTGAGCCATTATCGTGTACAAAGAAGAAGCTATTGAATTATTTGAAAAAAGTAGCTTGAAAACATTGTTTTTTTGGCATTCCTTGATTATGAAAAGGAAGTACGAATCCTATAAGCTGATTACTTGAAGGATCATATTGGACGCGTCCTGTAATTCTAGTTGCGTCTTCGCTCAACCAAACTACAAAAGGTAGTTTTCTATTTTCTAAAAACTGTTTCAACTCCCTAGCACGGCAATCACCCTCAATCAGTGTTTTGGAAGAAGCAGTAATTGTTCGTAAAATTGTACACAGAGAAGGCAATGGAAGATTTGCTGCCAAAGTTTCATATGTAATACGACCACCAACTATAAAAAGATATGTTGAAAACAATTTTAAGGCTTTAGAATACCTATATCCCCTAAGTCGGTGTTTCGATCTTTCTTTAAGGCACGCAAAAAGCATTGGTAGCAATGTAGATGATTTTTCAATAAGATCTTCATTTCTTGAAGGAATGTTATCTAAGGTGAAATCGTTAAAGAAACCCTCTCCCTGAAATGAAAAGGAATTAAAATTATTCGACATTTTCGAAAAAAATTAAATTTATTTATTCGTTTTAATTAAATTTTAAAATATATATTTTCTTTTATATTAAATACACCGTAGAAACAAAGTTTGAATACACTGTATATACATTTGACTATTTTTTGACTTAAAATAATTTTTTCTTATTTACGGAGAGACGGCTTTTTATATTAATTATATAGTTAATTCATTTATTCCAGTCTTCTTACCGGATTATCTACGTCATTAAGGATAGTCAAAAATAATAGACAAGTAAATGATGTATTTGGATCAAATACTTTTTATTTGATCCAAATAAATTTTTTATTCAGTGTACATAGTAAAATTACAGTAATATTACAGCAATATTATCCTGTAATAATGCAGGAATATTACAGCAATATTACGTGCTACTTGGGATGTAAATATATTTCTTACGTACCTGTCCTAAAATTACTCTCTATGAATTCCTGGTTCCCTATAAAATTTCCAGTTTCCTGTATTTGACTCTTTTCCTTAGCGTGCGTTTTGAAATGTTTGTAAAAGTTTGATAGTATCCATCTTTTTGTTCCACTTTCGTCATCAGCTATTCTCGTTATAATCTTCACTTGATTGCAAACAGGGCAAATTATATTAGCGACAAATTTTTTATCCTTCAAAATAACTTCAATTCTAATGTCCTTTAACAGCAATAATGTTGATGGTTCAAAATTACCATTGTATTTTCTTGACATTTGTGATACAAGTTTTTCTAACTTAACATAATAAAAAAAATTACGCCTAAAAATGATAGATAAATTTGACGAATTTGACAAAACTGCAATACGGAGAAAAGTACATGCCTTTTATTTTAATAAAGAGATGCCAACATTAGATAAAATTTTAATAGCTATTAACACTGACCCGCAATTACCAAATTTATCACGAGCTTCTTTGCATCGAGTTTTACTCAATTTAGGTTTTAAATTTTGCAAAAGAGGAAGGAATAGTATGATAACTGACAGAGAAGATTTGATTTTATGGCGTAGAAAATATATCCAAAGTCTATCAAAATATCGAAATGAAGGTCGCACAGTATATTATTTGGACGAAACCTGGATTAATGCAGGAGGTGTTTCCTCTAAAGTTTGGGAAGATACAACAGTTAAATCTGCGAAAGATGCATTTCTACGTGGATTATCAACTGGTTCATCTAATCCAACTGGAAAGGGAAAAAGATTGATTATATTGCATATTGGAAGCAAAAATGGATTTGTTCCAGATGCATTATTATGTTTCGAGAGTAAGAAAAATTCATCTGATTACCACGATGAGATGAATGGGGATACATTTAAAGATTGGTTTCAAAAAATATTGCCTACATTGGATGAAAACTGCGTAATTGTAATGGACAATGCTCCATATCATTCAATGAAGGAAGAAAAAGTTCCAAACATGTCTTGGAGAAAAGAAGAGATACAAAATTGGATGCTTAAAAAGGGTTAGAATTTGAGCCATGGATGATCAAGTTAGAACTGATTGAAATTGTTAGCACGGTAAAAAACAATTACGATAAGTACGTTATCGATGAAATCGCCAAAAAATCGAATCGATTAATTGTTCGATTACCACCTTATCATTGCGAGTTGAACCCGATTGAAAATGTTTGGTCCCAGATAAAAAGATATGTAAAGTCCCAAAATACAACGTTTAAAATTCCAGATGTCATGAAATTACTCAACGATGGAATAGAAAGAGTTACTCCAGAAATGTGGGCCAATTACACAGCCCCACAAAAAAAAAAAAGTGTCATGTACTTTTGACCGGAATACCCTAACCCTATGTATTTTGACGCGCTGAACACGAATCCGAAGTCCGTTTTGCTCCATCACGTCAGGATTTTTTTCTAACCTCAAAAAACATGTCGGATTTTGAGAAATAGGCGATTTTTTTAAAAATTGATGTATTAACTTCAAACTTGGTATCTGGGGGTTTTTTGTGTCGCTGATTACGAATCTAAAGTTAGATTTTCAAAATCAAAAATGGCGGATCCAATATGGCGGACGAATTTTGAAAAAATTTTAAGATTTACTTCAAACTTGGTATCTAGGGGTTTTTTGGGTCGCTGATTACGAATCTGATGTCAGTTTTCAAAAATTGATAATGGCGTATCTAATGTGGCCGATAGAAGTCCATGTTGGATATGCCATTTTGAATTTTTGAAATCTGACATCAGATTCGTAATCAGTGACCCAAAAAACCCCCAGATACACTATTGCACATTATAATTTTTGAAAAATTTCGTAAAATAATGTCCCCCTACCAAAAAAAATTCAAGGGGTATTTCCCCCCCATAAATCAGCTTTTGGGGAAAAACAAAACATACGTGTCAAATTGTTTTCAAAAAACTACAAAACTGCCAAGTTTCAGAAAAATCGGCGTATGGCACTTCCCTAGTGTTACTTGTCAGCAACTTAGAAAACCTGTAGATACCAAATTTCATAATAATCTGACAATTTTTTAAAAATAATTCCTTAATATTGAATCAGACATATCGAATTTCGAAAATCTGACATCAGATTCGTAATCAGCGACCCAAAAAACCCCTAGATACCAAGTTTGAAGTAAATCTTAAAATTTTTTCAAAATTCGTCCGCCATATTGGATCCGCCATTTTTGATTTTGAAAATCTAACTTCAGATTCGTAATCAGCGACACAAAAAACTCCCAGATACCAAGTTTGAAGTTAATACATCAATTTTTAAAAAAATCGCCTACTTCTCAAAATCCGACATGTTTTTTGAGGTTAGAAAAAAATCCTGACGTGATGGAGCAAAACGGACTTCGGATTCGTGTTCAGCGCGTCAAAATACATAGGGTTAGGGTATTCCGGTCAAAAGTACATGACACTTTTTTTTTTGTGGGGCTGTGTTATGTTAGGCATACATTGCAAATAGAAAGAGAATTTTTCACAATTGATAATAATGCAGACGAAATGTACGATCGTTTAGAAAATTTCGTATATATCTGATATTCGTTCAGAGTTTAGACAGAAATACATTGAAAGGATAATAATTATCCTTTCAGTGGATTTCTGCCCAATATTATACATTTTCTCAAAAATTTTAAGAATTTTTTATTTTTATAAACAATTTCACATTTTTTACCTTCTTATGATTGCAACCATATAATCATTTATATTAAAAAAAATTATGATTTTACATGATTTATTTTAGAAAGTACCTAATAATTTGTCTTTTTTAATACAAGTTTATAAAATTTTTAAATCTTAACATTTTTATTACATACGACATACGGTTGGAATCGCAAAAAGCAAGGAATGTGAATTTAATAAAAAAAAATTAAGAATATCAAATTTTTAATTTTTATATTTTTGAAAAAAAGTAATTATCCCATTGACAGATTACAATGTGGACGTCCTGTGGTGGCTACGGAGTTCGAGAGCCCGAGCCATCCTTTAAAAACTGACCTGAGTTCGGTTCATTGAGACTCACTTTGGATTGTGTGTGTGCGATTTTATAGGCTTAGAAACACATGTAATGCAAGTGTACTTTTACTGTGACAGAAAATTCGTTTTAATACTATTGGCTATATTTTTAAAGAAAAAAATTTTTAAACTCCATTTTTACTATTAACTCCACCCTTTTAAAATACGATGCGCAAACGGCGGGTCTTTCTCTCGTGAGACAGAGTATAGAATGTAACACCGATTCCGACCTGAAGCTCCACCCTTGATTCAGCATTGATGACCAAGACTCAATCAATCTTGCCGAATGCTGATTCAGGCTCCCTCAAGACTGCTCCCACTGTTACTTAATATTTTCGCGTTCAATAATTCTTAATAATAATAGTAATAATAATAATCCTATTAATATTTTGTATTATTATATATATAGATAACATTAAAACAACATTAGTTTTCATTAAAAATATGATTTTAATTTATTAATAATAAGGAGATAAGTTGTATTGGAATCTTATGAGAGTCAATAGAACTTATTTCCTTTAATTATTATTAGTAATTTCAAAAAAATGTACTATTATTTAATTAATTTAATCCGAAGTTTTTTACTATTTTTGTTTCATCACTTAAGATTAATTAACAACACCTGTCGAAATAAAACCTAATCTAATTTGAAAAATCTCGCTCGCATTGGGCACTGAACCCACGACCTAACGCTCACGCTCGCGCTCACAAACCTACTAGGCTAACCACGGGGCCACACTGGCTACTTGGCGACATTCTGTTAATACCAGTGATGTTTTTGGCGCGCCTTTATGCTAAATTTAAAATCTTCTTATCGTTAAGTTACTTATATATTTTTAACATTAATATAAAATTATTTTAATTTATATATTGCTGTTAATTTAAATAAATTATATTAAAATTTTTTTTGTTAATGGAATAAAAAAACTTTGTAATGAATGTATAAACTTTTATTTTTATTAAATTAATAACTTATATATTTATAAATACAATAAAAATATAAAATAAAAGCATAATATAAAATTGAAAATATTTCAACTGTTGTATTTTCAATTATTTGTATTTTTGAAAATACAATTATAGTAAATATTATGTTTTTACGTTATATTAAAGATTTATTATCTTCATAATGTATTAAATAATAATTCTTTAATTATTACAATATTATAGATATATTATAATATATAATAAAGATGATAAATTATTATAATATAATCTTAAAAAAACAAAATTTATTAAAAGAAATTATTTTCAAAAATGTGTTGAATATAATTATTATGATTTTTATTGTATTTACAAATATAATATTTATAAAATATTTATTTATAAAAAAACAAAGAATACTTTCATTGAAATAAATAGCAATATATTAATTTAAATAATATTAATTAATAATTATAAAATATATTAAATTGTATTTAACAAAAATTGTAAAAAATATGTTATTTAATTTGTATTGAACGTATGTAAATAATTACTCAATACAATTGTATTTTATACAAGATAATAATTAATATTGAATTAAGCTGCGAATATTAAGTCGAAAGTTGATTCAAGATTGAATCTAGACTGGACTGGCTTTGCTCATGAGGATTCAACTAATCTTGAATCCAGCATGAGACGAGCATTGGTAACCAATCTTGAACCAATTTTGATCGACAGTGGTATAAAGGCTGCTTTCAGTCTGGGTTACCCACGCTGGGCGTTCAATCTACAATCAAGCCTCAATCCATCGTCAGCATTGGTTTTTCGCGCCTGGGAACTGAACTCATTATGAGATCTGCATCAAAATAAGTTAACAGACAATTTCACGTTTGTCAAGATGAACCTGAATAGAAAAACTGTAAAAATATCTGTTATGTTCTACATTGTGATATTTTTATATGGGTAGTATACTGCAGAGTAGTGTAAATTATATAAAATAAATATTAAAGTAAATTATACTTATAGAACACTTATGTCTTTGATTCTTGTGTAATAAAATTTGTGAAAATATGAAAATTTTCTTCATATTTACATTTTTTTCATTACATATTCACTTTATTTTAACAATTTTAAATTAAGCGCCTTTAACGCTCATTACTTTTGCGTTATATGATTGGCACTAATACAGTTGTCAATGAAGTAAACAATAATTCTAACCTAAAAATTCTATTATTTAATTTCGTTAATTTGTGTAAATCAACTACAAGAATTAAAGTTTTTTAGGGCTATACGTTTATCTACTAAAAACAATTATTTTATTTAATATTTTTGTAAGTAAATATTTGTTTGTCCACGATAATTTAACATTAATCTCGAACTTACAATGAACCGGCTTCAATTTGAAACATTTCACTAAAAACTCAAAATGAGTCAAATCAGATCATTTATGCTGCACGTCAAAATAAGTATCGTATGCTACTCATTTTGAGTTCAGTTTTTTTTGTGAAAGGTTCATTCACTGTGTCATGTCATGGTAAAAGCGAACCTTAAGTCAAAAGCACGTTAGGTTCCTTTTCTAATGGAGCGTCACATATATTGACAAATAACACAGGTTCAGAAATTTTAAACTTTTTTTGACAATCGAACAAAATGTTTTTTTTATTAGTAGTTGTTTTCTGTGTATATCGTTTTTAATTTATTTTCTTCTCGAAGTTTTGCTGTAACAACAACAAAAATAACATTTTCGAGGTGTGACGTCAGTTAATCTCACCTGTAGGAAAAACAGATCATCGTGTAAATTTTATTTTCATTGAAATTATTATTAGTTCAAAGTAGGAGAGGTTCACTGCGTGATTTAGTAACCTCAAATGTTGCACTTTTTTCGAAAAGTTGTTATTCAAAAACTACCAAATATTACATATTACTATTTACCGGAAACATTTATGTCTACGATTCGATTTTCGAACTGTTGAACAGCGTAGAATTTTTTCCGCATGTATGTTTATATTCAAACTCTTATCTTCGCAGGTATGTGCTCCAGAAATTCTTTATAAACTTAATTAAAGGGTACCTAGAATTTCATCACGAAACGATAGTGTTTTTAATTTACCTCGTGTACGCACAGAATATGCTAAAGTAGCTCCTATTTTTTATGCCTATTTTCAAATTAATCGCTTAACTGAAAATTTAAAACCTGACGTTGATTTATTTTTCTTGCGGCGTAGCGACTTCCTTGTAAAAATAATTTTAATTCTCTCATCTCCAATATAGTTACTTCGTCTGTTAAAATGTATATGTAACATTTATAACATTGGAACTTGTATTGAAGTTGCCCATTTATGGTCCTATTGGATCGCGGGTGTTGTTGTAAAATAAATTTATTCCTGATCAAAAAAATGATGGAATTACTATATAATTATTTTATTCTATGATATTAATTCGAATTTGAAAATTTGTTTAGTAAAAAAATTTCACAATTTTTCAAAGCTTATAACTTTTTTTGGATGCTTTAAAAAATTTAGGGCTTTGCACATATTTTAATATTGATATAATTTACCTGGCGTGGGATTCCGATAAGCGACAGCGCTATATAGCGCATTGCACTATACGTATAGTGCAAAATTAAAAAAAAATTAGGGTGTACTTCCAAAGTAGGGGTACATCCGATCTTAATGAAACTTGGTATACTATTGTATTTTGGTGCGCTGATTACGAAAATGATAGTGAAAATTGGCACAAATTTGATTATCATGGTAAGATTATCTCGTAAAAAACGCAAAATTTCGAAAAAAGTTTTAGACAAAAGTTGTAGATCTCAAAAAAACACACATTTTATGTTTTATGCATTTTTTACCAAAAGTCATTATTTTTTGAGAAAAATCCAAAAAACCAAAAACACCAATGAAAACATATACAACAGTCATGGTTAGATATATTATTTGACTCGTATATAGTATCATATTCACCATTACTCAGGATCCAACGAATTCCGCAAAATACTTTCGGTCATATCCACCCCCTCTCGCCAAGATTTCTTTAAAAAAAAGCGAGGAGTACCTTACGCGGCCGAAGGCCGTGTATACTGTTTTGCGTTCACCGCAAAAAACAATGATTTTATGGTGTTTTTTATGGTTTTTACCATGATAATCAAATTTGCGCCAACTTTCACTATCATTTTGGTAATCAGCGCACCAAAATTGCAGTAGTATACCAAGTTTTATTAAAATCGGAGGTACCCCTACTTCGGAAGTATATCCAAAAATTAAACTTTTTACTTATTCTTAAACTTCAGAAGTTCATCTAGTTTCACATAATATTAAGACTAGATATTTTAAAAATAAGCCAGCAGCCACTCTTAAATGATTTTTAGTGGTTTGACCATATTATTTATTTAATATCTTTTTAATTTTTTTTAATTATTTAAGTTATTACAACATAAAAATAATATTTATTAATTTAATGAATTAGGAATAAAAAAATATTAAATAAAGTAAATAAATAGCAAAATATTAAAGAGTTAACCTTTAACCCTTGCATGCCTGAGCTGGGTCCCACGAACCCAGACAACTTTTTTTCATGTACTTCAACAAGGAGAGACCGCCAGTTGGAAAAATTACTAAAAAAATTTACAAGTAGCGGAAATAAGGTTACATTGTCAAATATTGCTGTAGGAAATCGAAAATTCTACTAGCAGCATACTTAATAAAACCTGTAGACTATAGTAAAATTGTACACAAATTGGAATAGAAATTACTATAGTCTACAGTTTTATTAAGTATGCTGTATGACAAAGTAACCTTATTTCCGCTACTTGTAAATCTTTTTAGTAATTTTTCCAACCGGCGGTCTCTCCGTGAACATATTCGCTTAAAATCGTAACTCGAGGGTTTTCGTGCTTGCTGACTACAAATTTGATGTTACTTTTTGAAAATTCAAAATGGCGAACCAATATGGCGGATATATTTTTTTAAAATTGACGGTAAATTGTACTGATTTTTAATTTTCCTGTCTGCCATATTGGATCCGACATTTAAAATTTTGAAAATCTAACATAAGATTCGAAATCAGCGACCTCGAAAACCGCCGAGTAACGATTTTGAAGCGAATCCGAACGATTATTTAAAAATACGTCCGCTATATTAGATCCGACATTTTGAATTTTGAAAAACTGACTTTAAATTTGCAATCAGCGACCCCAAAAACCTCCGAGTAACGATTTTCAAGCAAATATGTTTAATTTTTTAAAATTCGTCCGCCATTTGGAATTTTCCAAATCAGACGTCTAATTTGTAATCAGCGACCCCAAAAACCCAAGAATACCCAATAATACTTACATTAATTTAATTTTTTTTGTACTGTACACTCAAATTTGCCCTGTCGAAGAAGGTAATCTAATCTAAATCTAATCTAAAATAAGCTTATACCGAAGTCCCCTAGTACGAGTATTGGTACTTAAGTCGCAAGACCCATTGCACCTAACCCCGGTAAGCTTGAACCTAGTCTCCCTCTTTAGAGTCCTGTCTTATTCCAAAAGTCCAGTAACTCTTCTACCGAGAGGTCGCGAATCCTATCTGGGTCTACAAAGGCATGGCCCCAGCATTGATGTCTCGATGCAGCGTAAGCTGGACAGTGACATAAAATATGAGTAGAAGATTCCTCTTCCGCGTCACACAATCTGCATCTAGGTGAAACGTTTCTACCTATTTTGTGCTGATGGTAGTTCAGGAGGCCACGTCCCGTGAGCAGCCTGACCACTGCTCTAACTCTGATCTTGTTGAGTTTTAGAAGGGACTCGGCAAAGCCCCTGTTGAGTTTTAATCCCAACAGAGCCATGGCCTGTCTACCTACAGTAGTCTCCGCCCACTCTCTCTCGTGACATATCCTAGACCATCTTTGAATGGCCCCTTTCACAGCACCTGGCATAATGCCTACCGCCGGCTCCGGGCCTATCAAAGTCATCTCAGACCCTCTACGGGCTAAGGTATCTGCTTCTTCATTTCCTCTGATTACCGAGTGTCCTGGTACCCAGATTAATGAGAGCTTATTTTTCAAACCGTTAAAATGTGTAGGGGTTCCTCCGCCAATAATAAACCTAACGCAGAAGTTGGCGTGGTTCTCATAGCTCCAGTAACCCCTCTAAACACCATTGCTTGCAGTTGTTCAAGTTTCAATTTCACCGTTTTCAACTGGCTTCTAATCCACCAAACAACTGATGCATGCAGAAACCTTGGCAACAGGACCATACGATAGACACACTGAACCATATCCGGTTTTAGACCCCAAGCTGATCCAATAGGCCTTCTGCAAACCCAAAAAGTAGTGCAAAACCCTTCTCAACCCCTTCGTACAAATATCTGTAATGATCAGAATTCTGAAATTTTCAAAGATCTTCAAAAAAACCTAATCAAAGAAAACGTTCCTCCAGACAACTTGCCCCTGTTTGATTTGGTAAATGTAGACGAAAAAATGAACTGTCCTTTTTCTGAGTCGGAGTTTAGGGCTGCTTTGATGAGCAATAAAAAGGATTCAGCACCAGGCTTGGATGTTATATCCAATTCTATTCTGAGACAATTGCCTCTTCGTCCTCAGAAACTGTTGCTTAAAATTTTTAATGGATTTTTCACAACTTCAACCTTTCCAGTAGCCTGGAGGGATACAAGAGTCGTCTTTATTCCCAAACCTGAGGGCAAGGGGTATCGTCCGATTTCTCTGACATCTTCTGTCTGTAAACTGTTTGAGCGAATGGTCCATAAAAGGTTGGAGCACTATATTGAATCTGTTAATGGAATTCCAAACTGTCAATATGGATTTCGAAAGGGTAGGTCAACTACCGACTGCGTTTCGGGCTTCGTTACTGACATTCAGCAAAGTTTCCTGCGGGGTGAACATGTGGTTGCTCTTGCGATTGACTTGGTGGGTGCTTTTAGCAATATCCTTCCTCTTGCTATTCACAATAGATTGATCGAATTACGAGTACCTGATAAAATAATTAATTTTGTATCGTTCATTACGGAATCTAAAAATTTTTTTTTCTTCTGATTCTAAGGACTTTAAGACATCTTATGTAGGTGTTCCACAGGGGGGAGTTTTGTCACCACTGCTGTTCAATTTGGCTATCAGTAAAATGGAAACGGTTCGTCCGCAAAATGTAAAGCGATCAATGTTTGCTGATGATTTGTTGCTGTATATTGCAATGGATAAGGTTCAAGACGCAATAGAGGCTCTGGAAGGGGCAGTTGTTTCACTGGCGCCCTGGCTTGCTGAGGTTGGCCTGTCTATCTTCCCCGATAAATCACAACTTGCTATTTTTTCCAAATCAAGAGAAAAATTTAACCATACATTTCTAACAATTGATAATAAACTAATTAAGATGCGTGAAGACCTGATATTCCTTGGAATTCATTTAGATCGTCGTCTAACCTGGTCTCTTCATATAAATAGTATTGTTCAAAGGGCTACCAGATCAATCAACATTATCAAGGCTATGTCCAAAATATCATGGGGGGCGAACCCAAATGCTATGATCATGGTATATAGAGGCCTAGTTCGGGCACACCTTGAATGGGGCTGTCAGTTTTTTTTCTGCTGCCAGTCGATCTAATCTGGAGAAAATTGATAGAGTTCAGTCCTTATCCATTAGAACAATATTGGGTTGCATGAGATCAACTCCAGTGGGTATATTGTTGTCTGAGGCGGATGAACCTTCTTTGGCCCTTAGACGAGCTCATCTTTGTAGAAGACACATGATTAGAAACTTTTCCTGGTCTGAAAATCCACTCATCCCTAAATTGCAGCAGTTGTCGGAGAATTGCTTAGTTGATAAGCGATACAAGTTTGATGTTTCTCTGTTGAGATTCCCGTTCCTGAACTCTTTTAGGGAGGTAGGGGGGATGTTATATAGGGGCACCCAATCAAAAAAGCTTTCAACATTCGACTATTCCTGGGAGGAATTGACTGTTCCAATTGAGATCGATATGGACTCTGGTTCTGGCATCAAATCTGAACCTGACTCAAATAGTGCGTTCGAAAAACTTATTCAGACTAAATACCAGGGTTTCGTTTGGGTCTTTACTGATGGCTCAAGGGATACACTTAGGGGACTATCCGGTGCTAGTTTTGTAGTTCCTTTACTAAACGAAAAGTTTGGGGTAAGATTGAGTGGATTAATGGCTCTAAACTGGATAATACTCTTATAATTACTGATTCTAGATGGTCTCTGAGTGAACTTAAGAATAGATTTTTCTCCTCTCACCTTCAGCCGTTCATTGGTAACATTGATAAAATGTTTGTTTACTTATTGGAGGGAGGTGGACAAGTTCGGTTCCTCTGGGTGCCTTCCCACTCGGGCATTAAGGGTAATGAAAGGGTAGATAAACTGGCTAAAGAAACTTTGAAGTTTCCATTCGGTAACTTCTCCGGTGTTCCTCTGCGCGATCTAATGCAGATTTTCGAGAAGGATTTTGATGCATGGAAGGCGTTAACTTGGCCTTATGCCGACATTTCTAAGTCCCGTAATAAATATTATCAGAGGGTGGGTTACAAGACTAAAAGACCTTGGTTTGGTGGCATCGAGGCATCCAGGAAATATATAAAGATAGTGACCAGGCTGAGAACTTCTCACATCTGCACGGACGATCACTTCGAAAGGATGTAGTGGAACATTCCTCCTGGTTGTAGATGTGGAGCTGAATTCAAAAGTCTTAGACACCTCCCTGGCGGATTTGATTTACCTAAATTCGACCCAGCTGGGGCGAATCTAAGTCGAATTTAGGTAATTATCAAAAAAAAGCTTTAAATTGATGAAAATTTATAAAAATTAGTATTGTGAGGTTAAATGAACATTTATAGAGTTAATTTTTGTAAGAATTTTAATTATTAACGTGATAAATAATAAATAATCACTTAATATGTGCAACTGGTAACTGTAGATTTTAACTCGTTGTCAGTTTTCATAATATTTTCAAGAAATTAGTGTTAAGGCCCCTAGATGGCGTTAAGGATGACTTTGTGAATGAATTTCTAAAATTAAGCCCTTCCCTATTGAAAAAAAACACGTATAATTATACGTATAATAATACGTATAATTATACGTATAATTGTACGTATAATTATACGTATTATTATACGTATAATTATACGTATTATTATACGTATAATTATACGTATTATTATACGTATAATAATACGTATAATTAATTATACGTATAATAATACGTATAATAATACGTATAATTATACGTATTATTATACGTATAATTATAATTCTATTAAAACTAGAATAATAGAATAGAATAGATTAATTAGTAGCAAAATTGCGCTGAACATTTTTAGAAATTTTAAAATGCAAATTAAATTTCACGAAAAAAAATATCGTCGAATGTCAATTCAAGCAGTCGCCCATCCAAGTACTAACCGCGTCCAACGTTGCTTAACTTCCGTGATCTGATGAGAACTTGTTCCTTCGCCTTGGTGTTTCCGCTGTCTTGTCTTGATTAATAACTTTGTCGTATAAGTATTGTATCGCACCTAACCTCACTTTTAGTGATACGTATACTTTTTAATATATATATTAATATATATTTTATATATATATTTTTAATATATATTTAATATATACTTTTTATTATACGTATAATTAATTATACGTATTATTATACGTATAATTATACGTATAATTCTTGTTTCAAATTCGTATGTCTTATTATACGTATAATTGTACGTATAATAATACATATAATTGTACGTATAATAATACGTATAAGTATGCGTATAATTATGCGTATAATTATACGTATAATAATACGTATAATTATACGTATTATTATACGTACAATTATACGTGTTTTTTTTCAATAGGGTTGAGTGTCAAATGTGTAAGTGAATATATAAGTTTTAAAAAAATAGATCAATTTATTAAAACAACTTTTTTGATTTGTACAAATATATAAAAAAAAAATTTTATAATGAACAAAAATTTTATTAATCAGAAAAAGTTTTTTTTTTGTCAAAATTAATCTTTCTCATTTTATTGAAAAAAACAATTTTTTTATTCAAAAATGAAAAAAAAATTTATTCAAAAAAAAAAATGAGAAAGATTAATTTTGACACAAAAAAAACTTTTTCTGATTAAAAAAATTTTTGTTCATTATAAAAAATTTTTTTTTATATATTTGTACAAATCAAAAAAGTTGTTTTAATAAATTGATCTATTTTTTTAAAACTTCTATATTCACTTACACATTTGACACTCAAGGGCTTAATTTTAGAAATTCATTCACAAAGTCATCCTTAATGCCATCTAGGGTTTAACGCGCGTATCACAGCTGCCGCTGATGGTAATATACATATATATGGTAATTCAACAACTGTATGCACTGTACACTTAAAAAACTTATTATTAATTAATTATATCTTAATTTATTATTATTATTATTGCATAAATAAGCACTCTAAATATATATTAACCATTCCTAATAATTATTTACTACATATTTCGTCGATTAACGATAATATTTCACAAGAAACCAAAACGTAACCGAACCGTAACCCAATTCGGTTACAACTCGGTTTTTCCAATCCGCCAGGGGCTCGATAAAGAATAAAATAATTTAATAAAATTTGCAATTTCTATTAAATATAAATTATTTTTTCACACATTTTACACTAATTTCTTGAAAATATTATGAAAACTGACAACGAGTTAAAATCTACAGTTACCACTTGCACATATTAAGTGATTGTTTATTATTTATCACGTTAATAATTAAAATTCTTACAAAAATTAACTCTATAAATGTTCATTTAACCTCACAATACTAATTTTTATAAATTTTCATCAATTTAAAGCTTTTTTTTGATAATTACCTAAATTCGACTTAGATTCGACTTAGATTCGCCCCAGCTGGGTCGAATTTAGGTAAATCAAATCCGCCAGGGCTGCTTTGCTTTTGCCCACTTCTCTCAAGTGGTAGACCTAAGTTTTTTTCTTTTTTGTCATGTAAAATATCTAATTTTAATCCAATTGATTTTGATTTGGAAGAATTAATCTTTAATCCAAATATTGAATTTACAGTTGAGATTGGAAAATTTTTCGCCAGTGGTGAAATGATTGTTTAATTTGATTAATGTTCGATAACAAATATTGACCGTAGAGGAGGTGCAATCGTAGAGAGGTAAACAGATTTAAAAGGTAAAACTGATGCGAGAAAAGTTGCAAGAGACAAATGGAGTCATGGATGGGTAAATAATCCTAATTTTGCATTTAAAAAAAAAAAATTTTAATAAATAAAAAAAAATATATATATATATATATAAAATAAATAAATGAAAAAGAGAAAGAAATTAAAGAGAGATAAACGAAAGTAAGATTATTATTAAGAATGGGATAACATGCAAATTTCAATGTTGATTAAGTTCTAATAAATTTAATTAAGTACGTTTAAAGAAATCATTAATTGCTTCCGGTTTAATGTTTAAAATTTCGCTCCTTTACTCTTATCCTTCCTTCAGCAACATACACAACAACTAAAAGAGACAAAAACACTGCCTCCGAGATAGAGAGGAGGCATGTGGATTCAACATTATGAACATTATTAACGAGTGATGTATCTTACGTGCATTTACGCACAACTACCGGACGATCTATGCAGTACTGGCTACCTGTTTTAACAAGAGGCCATTTAAACAAAAAGAAAAAGAAGTATGAACTTCGCTCGTATGAACTTTCGTTGTAAATTGGTAAGTAAAATTGATAATATTTTAATGTATATGTTTATAAATTTGTAATACATTTATTCATCTCAATAGCCTAATTTTGTAAGTGTAACCAACTTTGATTTGAGTAATTTAAAAATCTCTTTAAAAGAAAAATTAAACTTCTCAAGATTTGAGGTTATGATTATTTATTTTTCAATACCAATAAAGTTTGTGAGAATTGAATTAATTTTAACCATGAGTCATATCTTTTGTTCGTATTTTATAATATTTATAATTTTATACGATTATATTAAACTAACTTAAAATATTTTCGTTTTAATTCAGGAAAAAGCAGTTTAAAAATGCCAAAATATAAAAAGACATCCGGTCGACAAAGTTGGGACTCAAATTTCTTCAATTCAAAGCAATGAAATGAGTATTTTAAAAGCCTCTACATCTTTCAATGTTCCTCGATCAACTTTAAGAAGACGGTTAAGAGATGTAAATAAAAATGCGACAGGTATTGTTAATTCAAAATTATAATTAAATTCTTTTTTTCAAACTAAATTAAATAAAGTGAAAAATAAAGTAAAGAAATAAAGAGTAAAATAAATTGTACTATTCATAGGTTCAAAGAAAAAACTTGGTAGCTTTGAATGCACTTTCGATGAGGAAGTGGAAGAGAATTGGTGGAACATATCAAATTTCTCAAATCTCGACTTCTTGAATTAACTTGTACAGATGTCAGAATGGTTGCATATGAACTTACAGAAAAAATTAAATTTCTCACCATTTTAACGAAGACAAGAAAATAGCTGGATTGGACTGGTTAAAAGGATTTCGTGAAAGGCATCCAGATATTTCATTACGGCAACCATGACCCAATTGGGCAGCAAGAGCAATAAAGTAAATGTCGATCAATTTTTCACTGTTTTTGGAAAGGTGTTAATAGAAGAAAATATATCGGCTAAAAGAATTGCAAATATGGACGAATCTGGTTTAACAAGTGTCCAAAAGCCTTCAAAAGTTTTTGCTACGACGGGTAAAAAACAAGTTGATGCATTGACGAGTGCTAAAAGAGGTGTACACGTTACTATCGTTTGCTGTATAACTTCTATTGGGAATATTATTCCTCCTGCAATAATTTTCCCGAGAAAAACCCGTAAGGATGAATTGCTAGATCATGCACCGATTGGTACTTTAGGTCTATATAATGAATCTGGGTGGATGACAAGCAAAGGATTTGTTGAATGGCTGAAACATTTTTCAAAGCATCTTTACCTTCGAAAGAAAACAAAGTTTTGCTACTTTTGGATGGACACGCAAGTCATACAAGTCTAGAAGCAGCGTTATATGCAAGAGAGCATGGAATTGTAAAGGTTTGTTTTCCTGCACATTGCACACATCGCATGCATGTTCGCAGTATTCGAACCTTTAAAGACCTTTTTCAACGAAGCTTGTACTACATGGTTAAAAAATCATCCTGGAAGAACGACCGGAGTGAATCATATCCCCGAATTATTTTCAATTGTATATAAGAAAACACCAACGATTGAAAATGCGATAAGTGCATTTACAAAAACAGGAATTCATCCTTTTAATAAAAACATATTTGATGAAGAATTGTTTGCTCCTGCACAGACAACTGATGTGCCATTGGAGAGTGTAACCGAGATTGCAAATGGAATTTTTGTAATCGGAAACGAAAATTCTCAAAATCTTGTTTCTGCAACAATGGTTGAAAATGATTCTATCGAAATATTGAACCTATTTAACGTTGCTAATTTCGAAAACGTTCAAGATAGCCAGGAGATAACAAACATACTAATTGCGGTTACTCAAGTTTTGCATCAGGTTACAAAAAAACAAGCTTGTCAAAATACTAACGTACATACAACGCAAAACGACTCCCAGAGGCAACGTAATAAAGAAGTTAATGGACCACGTGTTTCTCCAAAAGATATATATTCGGTAGCAACAGCGTCAAGAATCGATAAACCTCGTAGAAAAAAAAATTTTTAGTTTTAACGAGTATTGAAAACATCAAATATTTGACGGAAAATGAAAACAAAAAGAAACTTTCAGCCAAGAAAAAATCAATACTTATACGGAAGCGACAAATAAAAATTAAAAAGAAAGATGATAATCATGACTGTTTATACTGCGGTAAGGCTTTTGATAACTCTCTTTCTGAACTGAGATGCAATATTTGTAATTTTAGGATTCATGAGGACTGTGTAGATGTTCTTCCAAAAGCCAAAGAATTTATTTGTGAATATTGTAAGTTAGTTCGTGATTTAAAAGTGACTTAAAAGCAGAACATAATTATCTACACAATAAAAAAGCGAATTATTAAAATTTTTAAGTTTAATTGAAGTAACTATGTTAAAAAAGATTTTTTTCAAATTATACTTTTAAGCGTATAAGTTATAAAGTGATTTAAATAAGAAATGTTTCACATTGTTAATGTTCTACGTTAAATTTTATATTACTTGATATATTTTTTATAATATCTGTGATCTTCGATCTTAAGCGATTCAGTATTAGCAAGGTTAATATAAAATATTAACCAAGATTATTCAAAATAAATTTTTAAAATTTGGAATAAGTGTATTTTGCCAAATCTAATTAAACCCTCTTGTACTTTAAGTTCAAAAATGTGTTTTGTCAGGTTAAGAAATAAGTTTGAGGTTATGTTTTCCTTTTTTTACAAATTCAAAATAAATTACGAATATTTTGGACAAATTTATGTAAAAGAAATAAATTTCTTAAAATTGTTTACTGTTTAAAGTAGAAATATTTCTATGTTTAATTATTTACATAATTTTACAAAATTTACACGATTTCATAAGGTATAAAAAATATTAGACAGAATTCCCCTATAAATGGATAAAAAAAATTTTTACCTATGTATATGTTTTCGAAAGGTTTTTTCTACCCTTTCGAATGGTGAAATTTTTTTTAAATTCAAAATTTACCCCTTTTTTAAAATAAAAAATATTTATTATTTTTTGGCGCGGTATCGGTAGTACACAATTTAGTAGTACACAGATAAACTTTATACAGTTAATTCTATACAGTTTAACTGTATTTAGCGAAATTAAAAAATAAAAAATGTTAAATTCGATACAGTTTAATTTGACAAAGGTAAGTTGTATACTGTTCAACTCCACACGAGTCAATTTATGAAAAAAATAATGCGTTAATCTCTATACGGATTAAATGTACACAGACAATTAACATTGTTAACATATCGAAATTGTCTGTGTACATTTAAACCGTACAGAGATTAACGCATTATTATTTTCATAAATTGACTCGTGTGGAGTTGAATAGTATACAACTAACCTTTATCGAATTTAACATTTTTTATTATTTAATTTCGCTGTATACAGTTGAACTGTATAGAATTAACTTTGTAAAGTTTATCTGTGTACTTACTACTAAATTGTGTACATCCGATACCGCGCCACTTTTTTCAAAAGGACACTTTTTTTCTTTTTTTTACACTCAAAATGAAGCTTAAAATAAAATATATACTTTTAATACCAAATCTCAAGGTCAAACTTTTGATAAAGTAGGAATATATTTACCAATTTCAGCATTTAGTCATGGTCAAATATATGAGGCAAAATTCCTGAAATGTCCGAAAAAAAATTAAAAGATCTCGAATTTAATCCATACTTTTCTAAAATGTTGTTATTGTTGGTGAAAGTCCAAAAATGAATTATTATTGAATTTAATAAAATAGTTTTGGAATTACAACGTTTTTAATTTTTGACTTTAGAAAAAAAATTTTTTTTACAATGTACAATATTTATAAGTAGAATGCATAAAAGTTAACATATATATAATGATTTTTAAAGCTTTTTTGACGGGCTACACGCTGTTAATAAATTTTTTTTTTAAATAACATTTGACCTTGAAATTCAAGGTCAAAATGTTAATTTACGTTTATCTCAAAATCGGATTTTTTAAAATTATTTTTAACTATCTCAATGGAAAGCTTGACTAACTTCCTACAAAACATGTAATTTTTAGAGTGGGATCTTTAAAAGTTTTTGAAATATTAATTAATTAATTAATGTTTATAACAAATGAAATATTTTACAAACGAATAAAGTTACCGTAATTCTGAAGTTAGCAATTGAATCTTAATGTAATTCCGCATCTAACGAGCCCTGTATGAAGTATTTTGGATAAGTAGATTGTTAATAAACAATTAGTTAACATTGCAATTATTTATTAATAATCTACTTATCCAAAATACTTCATATAGGGCTCGTTGGATGCGGAATTACCTTAACTTTCAATTGGTAAGTTCAGAATTACCATAACTTTATTTGTTTGTAAAATATTTTATTTTTTTACTAACAACAAGCATCCAAAAGCTCTATATGAAGTATTTTTGTTTAATTTTAGTTAAATAACAATAAAAAATGAAATATCTTACAAACAAATAAAGTTATCGTAAATCTAAATTAACCAATTGAAAGTTAAATTAATTCCGCATCCAACGAGCCCTATATGAAGTATTTTGGATAAGTAGATTGTTAATAAACAATTGCAATGTTAACTAATTGTTTATTAAAAATCTACTTATCCAAAATACTTCATACATGGCTCGTTGGATGCGGAATTACGTTAAGTTTTAATTGCTAACTTCAAATTACGGTAACTTTATTCGCTTGTAAAATATTTCATTTGTTATAAACATTAATTAATTAATTAATTAATATCTCAAAAACTTTAAAAGATCCCACTCTGAAAATTACATGTTTTGTAGGAAATTAGTCAAGCTTTCCATTGAGATAGTTAAAAATAATTTTAAAAAATCCGATTTTGAGATAAACGTAAATTAATATTTTGACCTTGAATTTCAAGGTCAAATGTTATTTAAAAAAAAATTTTATTAACAGCGTGTAGCCCGTCAAAAAAGCTTTAAAAATCATTATATATATGTTAACTTTTATGCATTCTACTTATAAATATTGTACAATGAAAAAAAATTTTTTTTTTCAAAAGTCAAAAATTAAAAACGTTGTAATTCAAAAACTATTTTATTAAATCAATAATAATTCATTTTTAGACTTTCACCAACAATAACAACATTTTAGAAAAGTATGGATTAAATTCGAGAACTTTTAATTTTTCGTTCGGACATTTCAGGACAAATAGGTAATTTAATTATTATTGTATTTGGGGAAATAACTTTAAACTAATTAATTTTACAAAAACATGTTTCAGTCAAAAGTTGTTGTGCTTAAAGGGGAATATTCAGTGATGACCTTAAATTTGTCCGAAATGACCTGAATTAGGTCATTTCAATTTCAACTCTTTTTTTTAATAGAACCATCTACTTTTCATGTTACAAATCGGAAGAGCAGGAAATTCCACGTTGAAATTGTCCAAGTACTTTTTTCGACAGGTCGACCTATTCAGGTCAAATAGGTTATAATTAATTTCACCTACAAGGCCTTGGTTAGATCTAGTCTATGTCAAATAATTTTTCATGAAGAAAGATCAAGTTTTTATGCAAGGAATCGTCAGGGCAAAAATTTTTATGTAAAAAACACTAGACCCAACCAAGGCCTTGTAGGTGAAATTGATTATTACCTATTTGACCTGGATAGGTCGACCTGTCGAAAAAAGTACTTAGACGATTTCGACGTGGAATTTTCTGCTCTTCCGATTTGTAACATGAAAAGTAAATGGTTGAAATTGAAATGACCTAATTCAGGTCATTTAGGACAAATTTAAGGTCATCACTGAATATTCCCCTTTAAGCACAACAAACTTTTGACTGAAACATGTCTTTGTAAAATTAATTACACAGCCCCACAAAAAAAAAAAAGTGTCATGTACTTTTGACCGGAATACCCTAACCCTATGTATTTTGACGCACTGAACACGAATCCGAAGTCCGTTTTGCTCCATCACGTCAGGATTTTTTTCTAACCTCAAAAAACATGTCGGATTTTGAGAAGTAGGCGATTTTTTTAAAAATTGATGTATTAACTTCAAACTTGGTATCTGGGGGTTTTTTGTGTCGCTGATTACGAATATGATGTCAGATTTGAAAAATTCAAAATGGCATATCCAACATGGACTTCTATCGGACATATTAGATACGCCATTATCTGTATCTGGGGGTTTTTTGGGTCGCTGATTACGAATATTTTGCGGAAAAACAAAACATACGTGTCAAATTGTTTTTAAAAAACTACAAAACTGCCAAGTTTCAGAAAAATCGTCGTATGGCACTTCCCTAGTGTTACTTGTCAGCAACTTAGAAAACCTGTAGATACCAAATTTCATAATAATCTGACAATTTTTTAAAAACAATTCCTTAATATTGAATCAGACATGTCGAATTTCGGAAATCTGACATCAGATTCGTAATCAGCGACCCAAAAAACCCCTAGATACCAAGTTTGAAGTAAATCTTAAAATTTTTTCAAAATTCGTCCGCCATATTGGATCCGCCATTTTGGATTTTGAAAATCTAACTTCAGATTCGTAATCAGCGACACAAAAAACCCCCAGATACCAAGTTTGAAGTTAATACATCAATTTTTAAAAAAATCGCCTACTTCACAAAATCCGACATGTTTTTTGAGGTTAGAAAAAAATCCTGACGTGATGGAGCAAAACGGACTTCGGATTCGTGTTCAGCGCGTCAAAATACATAGGGTTAGGGTATTCCGGTCAAAAGTACATGACACTTTTTTTTTTTTGTGGGGCTGTGTTACTTTAAAGTAATTTCCCCAAATATAATAATAATTAAATGACCTACTTGTCCTAAATAGGTCGATCTATCGAAAAAAAGAGAAAAATGCACAGTTAAAAACGTTTGTTTACATTTAAGGTCAGCTCAAGGACAACACAACATTAGTACAAACATACCCTATTTTAAATGATATACTTCTTAAATTTCCTATTTTATAATAAAACGAAATAATATTAATTGATCTATTTAAACTTACCTATTTTATTTCATATTCGAAAAGTAAGGTATTAATAATACGACTGTCAATGATTCGCTTCGCGTGACGTCTAGCTAGCGCGTCGCCGCTTTTTGAAAAAACACTTATATTTTCAAAACTTATTAATGAATCGACTTGGAATTTTCCAGAAAACTTCTTTATATTATGATAAACAAATGTCTCACTGGAAGTTGTTTTAATTTTAAAGTTCCCCACAGACATTTTTTCGTCAAAGGTTAGAAAACGCGATTACCGACCGTTCACTATTTATAATTAATTATTATTAAAAAATAAATAATTCTTTAATTTTTTATTAAGCTATCGTCTTCTATGTATACTAATAAGTGTGTATACGAAATGGCAAGTGATTTCATTAACATTTGTCAAAGATACGACGATTTAAGTTTAAAAATGTAATGAAATTCGTGAAAAAAATTTTTTCAGTTTTTTACATTTAATATCCACGGTTTTGGTCCTATGAAAAAAAGTCAAAGGAAAAAAAGATGCGCCTTTTTATATCAAACAGGGTAATACGTTTTAAATATCAAAATCCCGAATTTCAATTTTTCGAACATTTTGGGTCGTTTGACTGGCTTTAGAGCGCCCAGCCGAGCGCTCGGCGAGTTGTTCCTCCCTGCTCCTCATTTGGATATTATATAATATTGCATAATAATGTTTCTAATTAAATATTACGAATATCTAATTAAATATACTAATGGTATACTATTACAGTTGAATCTCTATTATCCGAGATTCGATTATCCGAGATTCCGTACTATCCGAGGCATTGAACACGAAGTGCATGCTCGGATAATACGGAAAAACTCGGATAAAACCGATATGCATTAACAATAATTATACCCAAAAGTTAATCTACATTCATTAGATTTCAACTTTTATATACATTTACGATTTATTTTCTTTGTAGCACACTAAATACATAAAAAAATGATTAAAATTTTTGAATTTTAGGTATTTATTCCGTGTTATCCGAGTTTTCACTTATCCGAAGTACTCTTCCCCACATTACCTCGGATAATCGAGATTCTACTGTACATGTTCTGTAAATGTAAATTATTATGTCAAAAAAAATAAAAATAGCAATGATAATGGCAATGATAATGGCAATGATAATGGCAATGATAATGGTAATGATAATGGTAATGATAATGGTAATGATAATGGTAATGATAATGGTAATGATAATGGTAATGATAATGGTAATGATAATGGTAATGATAATGGTAATGATAATGGTAATGATAATGGTAATGATAATGGTAATGATAATGGTAATGATAATGGTAATGATAATGGTAATGATAATGGTAATGATAATGGTAATGATAATGGTAATGATAATGGTAATGATAATGGTAATGATAATGGTAATGATAATGGTAATGATAATGGTAATGATAATGGTAATGATAATGGTAATGATAATGGTAATGATAATGGTAATGATAATGGTAATGATAATGGTAATGATAATGGTAATGATAATGGTAATGATAATGGTAATGATAATGGTAATGATAATGGTAATGATAATGATAATGGTAATGATAATGGTAATGATAATGGTAATGATAATGGTAATGATAATGGTAATGATAATGGTAATGATAATGGTAATGATAATGGTAATGATAATGGTAATGATAATGGTAATGATAATGGTAATGATAATGGTAATGATAATGATAATGGTAATGATAATGGTAATGATAATGGTAATGATAATGGTAATGATAATGGTAATGATAATGGTAATGATAATGGTAATGATAATGGTAATGATAATGGTAATGATAATGGTAATGATAATGGTAATGATAATGGTAATGATAATGGTAATGATAATGGTAGTGATAATGGTAGTGATAATGGTAGTGATAATGGTAGTGATAATGGTAATGATAATGGTAATGATAATGGTAATTATAATGGTAATGATAATGGTAATGATAATGGTAATGATAATGGTAATGATAATGGTAATGATAATGGTAATGATAATGGTAATGATAATGGTAGTGATAATGGTAATGATAATGGTAATGATAATGGTAATTATAATGGTAATGATAATGGTAATGATAATGGTAATGATAATGGTAATGATAATGGTAATGATAATGGTAATGATAATGGCAATAATAATGGCAATAATAATGGCAATGATAATGACAAAAATAATTATTATAATAAAAATAAAAATGTCAATAATAGCTTGCCTTAAACAAAAAATTTCTATATTCAATTTACGTCATTACAATAATAATCTTAGAATTCTTTCATTCGTTCATTCTGTCCGGGTTCGATCAGCCGTGAAGGATAGTTTTATATGACTCTTCTTAGATAGAAAGAAAAAAGGCGTTACAGTTCGACAGTAAGAATTTGCTATTGGTTTAGGGAGGAGCCAAGGTACGTTTCATGTTGTTTCGGGCGATCATTGATTGCGTCCTTATGGGGAAGTTGTATACCCCTACTCTACCGGCCGGGACATAAATTCGAAGCTCGAGAGACGCATGCACCGAGGGGGCCTGAGCTGCGTTCTTGGGCCTAATGACATTTTATATTTATGGCCCTTAATGAGTTTTTCACGAAAATTATAAAATTTTTAAATATTGACATTTTTAATTCGAACAATATATGCTCGTAATCGTGAACTTCCAAGGAATAAAAATATGATAAAACAATTATAAATTGTTAATATTTAAAAATATTATAATTTTCGTGAAAAACTCATTAAGGGCCATAAATATAAAATGTTATTAAACCCAAGGACGTCGTTCAGGCCCCGCCGAGGGCCCTACTCGGTGCATGCGTCCCTCGGGCTCCGAGTTTATGGCCCGGCCTGTAGAGTGGGGCTATTCAACTTCCCCTTACAGGACGCAATCGATGACTGCCGTTGTTTCATCTTTTTTGCTCTCCACATTTTTTCGCGCTCTCTCTTTCTCTTTGGGTATAACGTGAACTACAGTTTTTAATCGTATTCTCCTGTGAAGTTTCAGATCTCGAATTTTAAAGTAAGTTTTCTACGATTTGTAATTTCTAAACAAAATATGTTTTCGTTGTAAACAATTTTTTGTTACGGAGTTCATTTTATTTTTATTCCTTTAAATAATTAATTCTCTGTTTAAATTTAAAAAAAGTGTTAAATTGTTCTTTTGATAAGAAATTGGGTGGTAACTGAAGACTAGGTATGTGATTTTTTCTAAATTAAGTGTTTAAAAATTATAAAAAAATAATTATTCTATGAAATAATAAGAGATTCATTTTCAAAGTTGGTGTATTTGTGGTGATATTTTTCAAAAAATATTTTTTATACGTATTATTTTCATTTGTAACTTTAAATGAAAATATATTTTCGTTATAAATTTTTTTTGTTACAGAGTTAATTTAATTTTTATTTCTTTAAATAATTAATTCTTTGTTTAAATTGAAAAAAAGTGTTAAATTGTTCTTGTAAACAATAAAGATAAAAATATTTTTAAAAGAATTTGGGTGACAAATGACTTAAAATTTAAATTTCAGAGTAGGTGTATTATTTAAAAAGGAAATATTTTTCTTAATGAATTTTTTTGAACACGAAAACTTATTGTGGTGATTGATTTTCGCCGACGGATTGTGTTATCAGAAATCAAAAGCATATTTGAATACTTTTTAGCGGTTATTGTAGTCTTGGTCATTGGATTTGCACTTATTATGATGGACTAAGACTTTATATTTATGATAGTCTTAATACAGGTTGTTTAAATGAGGATCAAATGAAATATTTAGAAAGATTATATCCCTTTAAACCAACCGTAGTTTTTTCAAATGCTCATCAACAACCGAGTGGTGTTGATTGTGGAATATTTGCAATAGCATTTGCAACATCTTTATATTTTAATATAATGCCGAATACTCTTGATTGCGTTCACAGCAGAATGAGGCAGCATTTAAGCTTAATGTTTAAAAAGAATTGTTTATTTCCTTTTCCTGCAAAAATAACGTCTGAAACAAGAAACTTAATTATTGAAAACGATTGAAAGCTACTTTCTATTGTCCACAGCGAAGAATTGAAGTGCAAAAATCCGAATTTTTCCCTTTCTCCTAAATCGATGGAGCAATTAGATTTAAAATTTCCACTGTACATAGAAAATAAACAAAGAAGACCTTATACTTTAAAAGATAAAGAAAGAAAAAAAGGCTAGGTTTTAGGAAACAATAGAACAAAAAAAAGAAACACAAGAAAATGATAGGCAGAAAAAACGTAATCGACAAGATACAGAAATAGAAAAGAAAAAGAAATTTGCTATTTAAAAAAAAATTATTAGAAACAGAAATTGAAAAAAGCAGCGTCTAGAAAACGATTTAAAACGAAAATATGATAAAATTATAACAGAAACAGAAATTGGAAAAAAGAGCGCCAACGAAGGAATTTAAAAAGTAAGAATAAAAAATTGCGTTTAGAAACAGAAAACGAAAAAAACAGCGTCTAGAAAATGATTTTTCTTTATACCTCGGTCGAAAGTACGCACTTGGTGCTTCGTTGTCGGAGCAGAAAGTCTAACATTCTTGCTTTATTGTTTGAACTACCCGCAAGCCATCTGTTGTTACAAGAGCAAAAGATTCTCCTCCAAATGGCTCAATCGGTAACACTCGATTTTTATTTAGTCTCACTTGTTTCACGATTAGAACTCTACTGTCGATTTTTGACGCATAACCTCAAAATTGGTGAAATTTATTGGTCCCTGGACGTTTAGTTTGCGCTTTTTTTAATAATAAATAAAGTGAAATGAATCAATTGTTGTCATCTGATGATTCTGGTGACGAAGACGAAGTGTTTCGAAATTTCGATGACGAAGCGCAATTGATAATTCAAAAGGAAAGTTTGCCAAAGAAATCGGCAGACAGATACGTGCTCGTTTATGAGACATATCAAAAATGGAAGAACGAACACATACACATGTATATACATTACATTTTCATAAATATCTCAAATTCTATAAGAGCTTTAGGGCTGAATTTTTTTTTAAATTGTAGATCTCACTTGGGGACATAAAATGAGAAAACTTTGGGACAAATTAATACATATTAACTATATTTTTTTTGACTTTTAAAATTTTTGAAAAATCGTTTTTTGCCCATAACTTGAAACACATGTTTTGAAAGTTGGGATGTTTTTACTTAATTTTGTAGAGTTTTTTAAGACGCATTTTTTGAGCTATTGACGAACAATCTGCTAATTTTATCCAAAGTTATTGACATTTTAAAAATCATAAAAAATCGTTTTTTGCTCATAACTTTAAAAAAATGTTATGACACCTACAGTTTTTTTAGTTTCATTTTGTAGAGATTTTCAAGACGCATCTTTTGACTTATTAACGAACATTTTACGATTACTTTATCCAAAGTTATTGACATTTTAAAAATAAATAATATTGATAAAAACCTGTTTGCATTTTGGCAGGGTTTCAGTTCCGCCTCACAGTGTATTATTTTTGCAATTTCATGTTCAAAACCTAATGTCTCTTGAACAAATTGACCAAATTGAATGAACCTTGGACCAAAATAAAGCTAAATAAATGTAGAATAGAGGAAAATTATAGGGAACCCTAGATTTATTTTTTTGAGCTCCTGGGAGTCGAGGGAAGTTAGCATTTTTTAGGAAAAAATGGTAAATTGAAGTATACAAACCGGTATATCATGGTAAAACTTAATAAAACAACTTTTTTGTAAGCATTTAGGATCACTGAATACAAAACTAAAGTTCATTTTTCAAAATTCTAAATGGCGAATTCAAAATGGCGGTCTAAAACAATGCAATTTTGAAACAAAAATTTTTTTGTTCAAACTGTGGTATTTTAATGTTTTTGAGGTCGCTGAATCCAAATATGATGATAAAATTTAAAAATTCAAAATGGCGGACCCAAAATGGCGGACGAAAATTTTTCAAAGTGCTTAGATTTCAACGAGACTTGTTACTTTAACGTTTTCGAGGTCGCTGAATTGAAATATGATGGTAAAATTTGAAAATTTAAAATGGCGAATCCAATATGGCGGACAGAAAAATTTAAAAAGTGCTTAGATTTCAATGATACTTGGTACTTTAACGTTTTCGAGGTCGCTGAATTCAAATATGATTACAAAATTTAAAAATGCAAAATGGCGGATCCAATATGGCGGACAAAATATTTATAAAATTCTTAGATTTCAACGTAGCGTAGTGTTTTATTATTTTTCTAGTCACAGACTTCAAATATAATGCTCAATATGAATATATAGAAAAAAAATTTATAATCATTACGCTTCGTTGAAATCTAAGAATTTTATAAATATTTTGTCCGCAATATTGGATCCACCATTTTGCATTTTCAAATTTTACCATCATATTTGAATTCAGCGACCTCGAAAACGTTAAAGTAACAAGTCTCGTTGAAATCTAAGCACTTTGAAAAATTTTCGTCCGCCATTTTGGGTCCGCCATTTTGAATTTTTAAATTTTATCATCATATTTGGATTCAGCGACCTCAAAAACATTAAAATACCACAGTTTGAACAAAAAAATTTTTGTTTCAAAATTGCATTGTTTTAGACCACCATTTTGAATTCGCCATTTAGAATTTTGAAAAATGAACTTTAGTTTTGTATTCAGTGATCCTAAATGCTTACAAAAAAGTTGTTTTATTAAGTTTTACCATGATATACCGGTTTGTATACTTCAATTTACCATTTTTTCCTAAAAAATGCTAACTTCCCTCGACTCCCAGGAGCTCAAAAAAATAAATCTAGGGTTCCCTATAATTTTCCTCTATTCTACATTTATTTAGCTTTATTTTGGTCCAAGGTTCATTCAATTTGGTCAATTTGTTCAAGAGACATTAGGTTTTGAACATGAAATTGCAAAAATAACACACTGTGCGCCTTTTACAGTTGTTCAAAGACCGACTGTATATTGTCTACTAAACAAAATATAATCGTATATAATTTCTTACTCTCCATGGACCGACTCTACAGAGGGTGAATGTGTATGAATAATAAAGTTACAGACAGACCAAATTTTCAAAGATCAATTATACACAGACCGAACCTTCATGGACCGACTGTACATGAATACATTTTTTCAAAATTTCGAATTTTGCAAACCATCACTACATGGACCGATTCTACATGGACTAACATGAATATTATTTTCTCGAAATTTTGAATTTCGAAGACTGACTCTACACGGGCCGACTCTACACGGATCGACACACCTGTCTTGAATGGAAAAAAAGTTCGTCCCCGATGCCGAAAAAAAATGATAGTATATTATGAATCTTTGGACCTCAAATAAACAGAAAATCAATGACAGAAAATCGTATCCGATCCTCCTTTCCTATTTTTCATGGGTTGAATGTTTATTTAATGCATTATAATGAAAAAAATTATTTTAATGAGTCAAATTTTTTTTTCAAATGTTAAAATGGGCAAAGGAATAATAATTTACAACATATACGTTCATAAACACAATTTAATGTTCAACGACAAATTTAGTCTACAATAATGTACATATGTATCCCAATTCAAATTAAACATGTTTTGACGAAAAATCAACAACAGCTTTCTTCAATCGTTCGATATACGACTTATCTTCAATATTTTTTATTTCATACCTTGACCAGTAAATTTTGAACTCCCTGTGTACTGACTCGCCTGCTTGCTCAGACCACAAGCTTAGTCCATCATTGTTCTCCAAGAAGTTGAGCGCTTGTTCGATGTGGCTTACTGCAACGTGTACTTTCAATGTTTCCGAAACATTGTCCAAGGCTCTTAAGGCTTTCTTTAGATCAATAATTAAATCTTCTAGATTTGAGCCAACTATTTTAGTTGAGAAACAACACTTCACAATCTTATCGATGACCTTGAATGCAGAAATAAAAGGGGCGACGATTACTGGACCTCCAACATGGTTGCAAATTTCTTGTTTTTCCAACAAATCAGCATGTTGCAAGAGTTTTCTGCAAGCATTACCTTCGAAGATCTTACCGTGGTAATTTTTTGCTACACAGTTAATAGACATGGGCCACAACAAAGCTTTTTCCTCGCCCAAAATGGGAACCAAGCCTTGCCAAAATAAATGGTTCACCAAACCTTGCAATATGTGCAATTCCGGTACGACACACTTCTCTGCCACACAGACATCGTCATTTTCTTCGAAAAGAGGTTTATTAACTGTGCTGTTGCATAATTTCGCCTTTTTTTTGTTGGAACCTAATGATTTGAATTTCAAAAAGTCTCTTTTTAAATCCCCATAAGTTTTCAGCGCAAAGTTTTTCTCGGAATTTATCAAATCTTCTTTATCTTTTAGATTGTCCAAGGTAATGAAACAATAAGGACACGGGTAAGTTGCCGTAGCAGTTTGCTGTCCATTCACAATCAATAAAACTTTGAAATCGGAAACGAATTTGAATGAAATGTTATTGATTTGGATTAAATTAAATAAAATTTCAAAATTTTCGTATGTTTCTTTAACGTCTGGAACAATACATAATAATACCAATTTACGGACGCTAGTCATTTTAATTTCTCCACCAAGAGAACCTCCTTCAGCGTAAGTTTTTCGTTTTTTGGTTGAATTTAGAATTTCGTCATCGTTATCAGAATCAATATCCATCGAAGAGCTCTCGAAAATGGACATACAAATTTTTAGAAACTTTTGACCGCCATCAGCCATAAGTTTGATAACGTGATTATTACCGATTAATTTTCTTTCCTCTATTATTTTTGTAACTAATGTCTCGGCATCGGCATAAACAACTGGCCTTCGTATTTTTCCCTTTGATTTTTCATGTGCTTCTCCAACATCAAACAACAGCTCTTCGGTTTGATAGTAGTCACTCAAGGATGAAGTCTTTTTTGCTAGATGATTGGAAAAACCTTTAGGCAAGGATTTTCGGCCAGCTTTTGTCCGTATAAAATTTCCGACATTCTTCTTTGCTTTATTAGAAATACCTGTCTGATTTTGAAAATTATCTAAACACTGTGCATCAAAAAAAAATGTTTT